GAGCAAGACCTGCAAGCCCAATGGTGAGAAGGCCTCTAAAACATCAACATGGCAGTATCATGTGGATTCAAGCCACGTGACCAAATAAGTGTCTGAGAGGCCTATGTTTTAGAGTTATATAGAAAAGTCATAATGGGGTCATGATAATTTAATAAATGGCTACATTTACCAGAGTTTCTCTTAGCACTTATTATTCTAACAGAGAGACAGGTTTCCTTACTTTTATTCTGACTTGTTTGGCATTCCTAGAGGGCAAAGACTGTGAGTCTGGTAAAACTCCATCAAGGAGTTTGCACGTAGGTGCTACATTTAATGATGGCTATACTTTAAATGAGCTAGCACAGTGTCATGGGGAATGGGTGTAGTGGGAGGAGTGAAACAAGGCTTGATAAATTATCTTTTTTTTGGGTACCTGGTCCCATTAAGATGCACGTATGTCCCAATTAAAATGATTTTGCTTGTGGTATCGTCAAGATAATGACTAAAGGATCATGTAATTCTCTTAAAAAGGATACAAATAAAGAGAAAATGTCAATTTTTTAATGCTTTTCCTTTGGGTTCATGCATATGTTCTGGTCACCTGTGCCACACCAGGGTGGACCAGTGCCTTTATTGTCATGGGATCCTGTGCACTTGAGGAACCTTGAGTTATTAAAGTGGCTTTGGATGGATTATTGCATTGACTAATTACCAGAACTGACCTTCACACTGGCTAAAATTTGCTTGGCTTAATGAGGCTCAATTTTTGTCAAGCCCTCTAGGCTGGATGGCTGCTGGCCCAGTCACTTCGTTGCTTTGATCTTTCATTTTTAATAATAATTACAGCACAAAGCTTAAGGAACTGTGGTAAAATATGTCAGTAATCATGAAAAGCCTGGGGCAGCTACATTCTAGGAAAAATATTAAGCTTTCAGATTTTTGAGCCTATTTGAGTCATACTCTTCACCCAACTTTGACCTTGTTGGCCATGCCTTTATTGTAATATTAAAAAAATAATACTTCAATTCTTAATAGGGTTGTTCTACACATGTAAGTGATAGGATAGATGTTAAGTTGCCAGATCCTTATTAAATATCATCAGCCCAGCCTAGAATCGGTGTTAACTTTTATTTCTGAAATTCAAGATGATGGTGGATTTCTCAGACACAAAGCTAATTATCCCCAAAGTAAGCTCTGATTTGAAGGATGTCTATCAAGGAGAGCAGGCTTTTATATTGTAGAAAAAGTATGGTTGATTCGTACTAGCTGCCTAGACCACTGTGCTAAGAAAGATTAGGAAGTAGAATTGGGCTCAGCATAAAAGTGTGCTGGAACTGACTAATCGTGTCTGATATAGCTTAGGAAGGAAAAGAGGCATGATAGCCATTCCTGCTTTGGTTCATAGATTCTAGACTTGTCTCTTATAAAAAGCCCTCACCTTATAAGCATTTCTTATATATTTATGTATTTTTCCACTTTTTCCACCTTCTGCTCATGCTTGAGGCCCTGATTTTTCACTCTCTCTGCCACCCTACTTGTTTTTCCTTTCCCATTTCCCTTTTTTCCAACAGGCATTAAATTCATGCGTCTCCCCAGTGGCTGAGGTTATAGGTACACACTGCTATACCAGGCTACACTTTGCTGTTGGTGGCGGTCTTTTTATCAGTGGAAGGTGGAGGAAGATGGGGTTCAGTGCCTCCTAACTGGCAGCCACATTCAGAGGGTTTGGTTCAGTCCAATGCTGGTTCCCCAGCGTTATGACTGGGGTCCCTGTGCTCTCACTAGGTCGGGTCACCTTGTTCTGTATGTTTCTCCAGCATGGTCTTGACTGCTTTGCTCATCTCTCCTCCTTCTCTATAACTGGATTCCAGGAGGATGGCTCAATGCATAGCTGTGGGTGCCTGCTTCATCCATCAGCTACTGGATGAAGGCTCTAGGATGGCATTTTGGGTAGTCATCATTTTCCTTATAGGGCAGTTTAAGGTAGCCGGTTCCTAGTTGGGGTCATCCTTGTGGATCTCTGTACAATTCCCTAGTACCATATGTCTCTTTAAACCTATAGTGGCTCCCTCTATTGATGTGTCTTCCTTCTTGTTCTCCTCTATTCCTCTCCCCACTATATCTTCCTGATCCCTCATATTCTTCTCCCCTCCTCTTTCTCCTACCTTCCTCTCCCTCCGCCATGCTCCCAATTTGTTCAGGGGCTCTTGTCCCTTTCCCTTTCTCAGGGGGACCATGAATATCTCTCTTATGGTCCTCCTTGCTTCCTTGCTTCTCTAGAGGTGTGTATTATAGTCTGATAATCTTTTGCTCTATGTCAATATGCATATATGAGTGAGTACATACCATGTTTGTCTTTCTGTGACTGAATTACCTCACTTAGGATGGTTTCTTCTAGTTCCATCCATTTGCCTGAAAATTTCAAGATTTCATTGTTATTTTCTGCTGAGTAAGACTCCATTGTGCAAATGTACCACATTTTCTGTATGCATTCTTCAGTTGGGGGGGGCATCTCAGTTGCTTCCAGGTTCTGGCTATTACAAATAATGCATATACATATATGAACATAGTTGCACAGATGTCCTTATTGTATGAATGTGCATCCTTTGGGTATATGCCTAACAGTGGTTTTGCTGAATATTGAGGTAGACTGGTTCCCATTTTCCTGAGAAACTGCCATATTGATTTCCAAAGTGACTGTACAAGTTTGCACTCCCATCAGCAATGGAGGAGCGTTCCTCTTTCTCCACATTCTCTCCAGCATAAACTGTGATTGGTGGTTTTTTATGTAAGCCATTCTAATGGGTGTAAAATAGTATCTCAGAGTTGTTTTGCATTTGCCTGATGGCTAAGGATGTTGAGCAATTTCTTAAATGTCTTTCAGCCATTTTAGATTCCTCCATTAAGAATTCTCTCTTTAGTTCTGTACCCCCCTTTTTAATTGAATTATTTGGTGTTTTGGTGACTAGCTGCTTGAGTTCTTTGCATATTTTGGAGATCAGCCTTCTGTCTGATGTGGACAAACTACTCTTTACTGCTTTCTGTAACATTTAACTTTGCTCACTTCTGTAAGCAAATTCTTCATGAGAATTTAGGAAGTGTTGATACAGAGGACTTTTCTAGCTTCACAGAGTTCCTTCTTCAGTTACTTTTAGTAGATATTAAAAATATGGTGGCTTGGTTGGTGGGATGGCCTTCCTCATTTTCCTCCAACTTAACTCTTATGTAGACTTACATTTGTCTCTCTTGTCCCTGTCAAGTCATTCTTTACTATAACACAACTCACTTCTTCTCTACATGAATCAACCGCCTTGAAGCTGCTGGGACATGTTAGTTTGAAATGCTCCTTGTAAGGCACCTTCAGGTCTTCCTTTGCTGTTGCTGTTTCTTGCCCAGTCCCATGCTCTTTCACATGAAGAACTTCCTTAACAATACTCCATGTTTCATAATATTGTTAAATGACTTCAACAATGGAATGTGGAAAGAAATTACTTGAGTGTTTTCATATGATATATACCCCTAAAAGGTGACATCACAAATAGCCAATATTAATCTGCGGAAGTAATTTCATATGGTTTTTGCCAAATGAGTATCCTAGTGAGTTTAACTTTACACAGTTTTTCTTATATCTTACAAGGAGAAATGTCAAAACAATTTAGAGGAAAGCCAAACCAACATATGCAAATGCATGTGCATCCTTTATAGTCCTTAGTGTCCCCCCCCAAAGAGGGCATTATTCACACTATTTCTGACCAGTCACAAGAGAGTGCGCCACATTGTTAAAGACACCCCCCACTCCCAGCCTCCAGGATGGATGTTAATGAATTGACGTGAGAAATGTACAGGTTATTTACCATCTTTGCTTGTGTTTGTTTTTACCTGTGGCCTATATACATTCACATAATTAGGAACAAAGTAGAAGCAAGGTGATTGCTCAGGGATAGTTTTATTTTGTTTCCATGCAGCTGCCCCACTTATTTTAATAGTGTGGGAATGGTGTGTAATTATGCATTGTTAGAAGATTCGGGTTTGTTTATTCTTACCTTGAAACATAATTCTAAGTATTTTTTACTTCCTGGAACATAGCAACTGCATCACCATAGCACCTGGGCTGGAATATTTTTATGACTGTCAGATGTTTCCTGTTTTTGCTCTGGAAAGCACAGATATCGGATGCGAAAAGGGCAGGAGGCTACATAGTGATAAGGTTTTAGGGGTGGCATCAAGGTTCAGCACTCTATCTGGAGTTCTCCCTAATGACTAGTTGGTACCTAGAAGTCTCTGCTGATGAAGAGCCTGTGCTCTTGGACTTTGCCAGGACTCAGAGTTCATGGAGTCACACATATAATTCAGTGAAGGATGAGAACTGATCTTTGGTCAGTATTTTTGAGCTACGGTCTGTTGATGTAATTTTCAAGAGGTATATTACATATAGTCCCTAGGCAGACATACATCAGTCTACCTCTTTTTCTTTGATATGATAAGAAAAAATTTAAAAAAGAGCTGGACCAACATTGGCCTAGTTTCAATTCTGTTGCTGTTATCATTATCTAAACAAAAAACAACCTAGGGAAGAGAGTTTATTTGACTTACAGTTCCAGGCCACAGTCAATCATTATGGGGGAAGTCAAGTCAAAAGGAACTTAAAGCAGACAGTTAGATCCCTAGTCAGTAGCAGAGAGAGGATGAATGTTTGGATGTTTCTTAGTGCTCAGCATCTCTCTCCACACTTATATCATCTAGAATTTCCTGCCTAGGGAATAGTGCTGCCTTTGGTAGCTTGGGTCCTTTCATATTAGTAAACTCAATCAATTCCCCCCCCACCCCGTATGTCCCCACAAGCTACCCTGATCGAGGCAATCTCCCATTGAGAAAATTTTCTCAGCAGATTCTAAGTTGTGTCAAGTTGTCAATTAAAACTATCACCATTGTTTACATTGTAATGAAAGCTTGACAGTTATTTAGGAAAAGATTGCCAATTGTATTCCTTAATGTCCTTCTGCTTTTGTTTCTAATTGTAGCTTCGGAAAGCCGTGATGGATCACATATCTGATTCTTTCTTGGAAACCAATGTCCCTTTGCTGGTTCTCATTGAGGCTGCCAAGAGTGGAAATGAAAAGGAAGTGAAGGAGTATGCCCAGGTTTTCCGTGAACATGCCAATAAACTAGTGGAGGTAAGTTGCAGACCTGGGGAATCAGGTCTCATGATGCAAGATATTATATATATATATATATATATATACATATTCTGCCTACACATGGATCTTGAGGTTTTAATGGGTTGTTGTTTTGTGGTTTTCTTGGAGAAGTCAAGTACTAGAAGCTTTTTTTCCCCTTGACCTTCTGAGTATTCTTCTCCCCTCAGAGGAAACAAATTATTAGCCATCCATCCTTGTTGTGTGTCATGACTATATACTCTAATATGTGTCTGCTAATTTTCCTGAGCAGTAAGCAGAAGCTGGAACTGGGGTAGTGAGGACTCTCCAGCCCTGAATGGCAGGTTTGATGAGAAGGAGTGGAATTAAAATTTACAGATGGGTAATTTAGAGCCCATTTCCTTTCCACCTTGCTCACTTCCCATCCCACTGCATGCAGCGAAGCCTAAATTGCCTGGTTACCATGTAGTTTTATTGGAGAGACATTAACAAAATATCTGTTGACTTCAGATAGGGTGCTAAGGACATACCGATGAAATTATTTCATCTAAGCTTGCCTTAGTGAATCAGTGAGATGTTGGGGATTACTTACAAGAACATAAGTAAGCAGGTACCTATGGGAGTTTAGAGAAACCCTAGTAGCTGGATCACTGGAGAGCTCACCCCAGCATGGGTGATAACCTCAAAAAGGTGTAGACATGACGTGTCCCCTCAGTTAAATTTTGACCTTTATATCTTCTCCAGCACTTCTAGAAACTACAGCAACTGGGACAGGATTATGCAGAACTTGGTGAGGCAGGGAAGAGGTAGCTTTTGGGCATTGAGGTGAGGGTCTAATCCTCCAACCCTTGCCCTCTATGAGGGAATGTCCAGGTCGGGGAAAGTGCCACAATACTGGCCACATAGTGAATTTTTGGGAAAAAGATCCATTTTTTTCCTATATAGCTGTTTAAACTCCTTTTGGAAGATCTTGGACCAGTGCTGATGTAAGTTAAGGATCATAAATATATTTTATGAAGAAAAAAATCCATGAGAGTTTCATTATAAATCCAAAATTATACACAGTGATATTAGAACAATATGCAGTTGGGAAATGATATTCAGGCTGCCTGGATTTAGAAAGTGAACAGCTGTAATTTGGCAAAAACAGAATTCTTGATATGGTCTCAAGAAAAAAAAGGCAGATGTTAATGAGGAAATGTGTCACAGAGTCTTGGAAGGTTGATGATCTTGGGAGGTCTGGAATGGTTACAAGCACTAGGTGGAAACTTACAGCTAGCATTTAGTACCACTACCACAACCACTGTGGTGCGTTCTCTCTCTGATTGATAATAGGAGTAAAACCATTCAAAGTACATACAAATGCAAGCTAAAATGAAAACAGGTCCACTGTTTTATTTAGGTGTCAAGGAGATGATGAAGAGGAATTGAGTGTTGAGTTGAGGGGATGTAAGAAGGAGAAGAAAAGAGAATTGCTGAATGCATGCTATAAGGATTTAAATGTTAATGTGAAAAAAACAATACTGGAATATGGGCATTCCATCCTATGTGAGGTATTGTAGTTTTTATAAATACTTGCAGATGTGTAGAAAATTAAATAGTGTACTGTCAACAGTGTACATGAAAAGATTCAAGTTAATACCGAATGGTCAACATTTCCGGTGTTCAGTACTGTCCATGTTGTTAATTCTGTGCATGGCCTCATTTATAACACACTTTTGGAATACAGGTGTGACATTCAGTAAACATGAGGCAAGGGTGCATGAGCTCTCTTTTCTAATCATTCTTCCTTCTCTGGTGACAGACCATAGTCAGCATTTTCTCTTTCTGATTTTGGGTTTGCTGTAGATTAATCCAGCTGCTATCTTTGATCCCCTACTTGAGTCAGATCCCCTACTTTGGTCACCTAGATGCCCAGGTCAGAAAACTGATGCTTTCCCTGATTTGCTTGTTTTCCTCACTGACCCTGGGGAGACTATACAGCCAGCAACATCTTGGAAATGTCTTAATGTCCAAGTGCAAGCAGGGATTAGTGTGGGAGTTGCGGTCAAACAATTAACATGGTTTGTGAACTTTAAGTAAGTCTTTGTAGTTTGAAAAATGATCTTTGTAAACTTAGAGACTTTCTTAGTTTTTCTTAATTTACATGCATGACATATTGGTTTTATGTCCATTGACCTTTATGAGTTCAATTGCTAATTCTACAAGTTTCTATCTTTTAGAACCCAGTGCGTAAAGTCATGTGCCTATAAATTATGACAGTGACATTTCATCTTTTTTAATCCTTTTTTTCTGACTTGCATTATTATTGTGCTGGCCCAGGCTCTAGTACAATGTGGTGTTAATGTAAATATGTGATGTTTCTAGATCCCAGTAAAGAAAATTCTCTATTTTACTGGGAATGATGTTATTTGCAGATAGATCAAGTTAGTTCCATTACTCATTTCCTAAGAGAGATATATTCTTAATATTATAAATGTACTCTGATAAATGTCTCAACTGATAGAGGGCTTAGCAGGCAGGCTTAAAGGCCTGAGTTTGGTCCCTGGTATACACTCAGAGAAGCCTAGGGCAGTAGCATGTGCCTGCGTCCCAATACTGGAGGATCCTTGGAACTAGAAGTAAGTCTTATCATATCAAGTTTGTCTTTCTCAAAAAATAAAGATAGGAGTGTTTGAAAAAAAAAAGCAAATGTTGCCTCCTGGCTTGTTTATACATGAACGTACATGTATGCATATGTACCTATACACACAGGTCCATGCACATGGGCACATGTGAATATGCACACAAATATTTTTAAAGATGCTCATAAATAAAAAAAATAGGTTAAATTGTTAAACTTTTGAAATGAAACTTGAAAATGATTACACTTTGTCTCCTTTATTTTCTCCTTTAGAGGTACGTGTATCTATTCCTTCTTTTACTCACACACAACTAATGTTTTCTTTTAAAAACATTTCAAGGAAGTCTCTGGTAGAGCAATATGAACCTAGGATTTTATTTGAGATAATTTTTTTTAAAAAGAAGACTGAGTTTTCTGTTTCTTTTTGTCTCACTTTTGTTATGTTGCCATTAGGAACTGTTTATTTTTGTTTCACTTACCAACATGAAATTGATACTATTCTTAATATCTTTATTAAATGTATGGGACATGCATTACTATTTCTTCTGTAAATTTTTAGTTCACACATTGCTAATGACATATGTTGTCTTCCCTAGACTCCATGCTACAGACTCATGTACCTGCCAAGTTCATGTCCCCTTCTGCCAATGAACAAATATCAGGAAACTGAGCCAGGTGACACGAGGAAAGCCAGGCTCTTCTCAGTGAGCATCTCTTTTCAGCATAGTTTAAGTTTTGACTTCTGTGCTGCTTCTTTCATGTTTTCTAGAAAACTCCCTCATTGTTGTCACTGAGGCAGGGCCTCATTATGTTGGCCCGTCTGGCTTCAGACGTTGGATACACTAGCCCCTGTGTCCAGAATGCTGAGATAGCAGTTGTGCATCACTGTACTGGGCAAATTATCTTATTCTGCATTTTCTTTAATATTTATTCCTGGTTAGGAAGTGGGTGTCTTTGGGGTTACTCCATTATGTCTACAAGTGGAAATCCAGGAATGAAATAAGATCGTGGTTAATTTTCATTGTTGCTGTGGTTAACATTTTAAACTCGAGATTTGTTTATTCACTGGCAGCATTGGGACTCCCACATTTCAAGTCAATGCATGTATAAGGTGAACTTATACAAGGATCTTACATTTAGGCCTGTTCAACAGCCAAGTCCCCAAGGTCAACTCTGCCTGAACTGACATAAGCAGCTGAGAACTCCTTGTGCTTCTGTGGCTCTTTCATCTGGTGCCTCCTCTCTGTGCTTCTGCAAGTGCCACCTCACATGCCACCTTGGGACAGCAGAGTAGAACTAGAGCGGGACAACACATTTTTAAAGCGTCAAAGAACCCAGTTGACCTGAAAAGACAGGAACCCCTTTCCTTTACTTAGCTCTGTGACAGTAATCTTAGTCCTTCGGTATTTCTTGACTTTGGGTTTTATACTCAACTTCCCAACTGTTTCTGCTTTTTAAATATTTGTTTGCTACTTTCCCTTGGTTTTCACAGAAATAAGTGCCATTTTAAAGTACTTTAAAACAGTATTTTTATTTTCATTATATCCATTCATTGTGTGTGTGTGTGTGTGTGTGCGCGCGCGTGTGTGTAGTGTTCAGTACAGGGTATGCATGTGGAGGTTGGTGCAAAACTTATGGAGTTGTTAGTCTTCAACAATATAAGTTCTGGGGATTTGAATTCAGTTCCTCAGGGCTGGCATCAAGCATGCTTACCCATTTTCCCACTAAGCCATCTTGCCAGCTTGGAAATTGATAGGTGAATCAAGTTTGTCAGAATCAAGTTTGTCACAACCTATCACACATTTAGAAAACCCTTAACAATTACTTAGTGCAAATACAATTTCAGTAAGATATGAATAGGAAGAAATTCTTTGGCTTTTCATAGTTGTCTTAAGATGGTCACTTGGGAAACATTTTTTTTTCATTCATAATATGTGTAATATTTTACAAAAAACAGATGGCTTTTTCCCAGGATCTTATGGTTGGAGGACTTCAGCAGGCCAGATCTGCTGTTTTCTGATCACTAGTCCAGTTATTGCAGGGTGTCTCACTGCAACTCAGTACAATGGATATTGGTATTTTCCTCTGATCACTATTTTCCAAACTCTCTGGGGGTTAACCAAGGACTCCAGGGTGGGCTGTCTCAGGATGCACAGAGATGATCGGAGCACACCTGTTGGACCTCATTCACAAGCAAATTGAATGGAATTTTGCAGAAATGGAATGCAAATTATGGCAACTCTCTACCAAAGAAATGTGCTTGGGGGTGTTGTTAAACGTAAATTGGGGGCAAAATCTGCATTGCAGCAATGAAAATACAAACTAATTTTCAAAATGAGATGCAAAAACCAGTCCAGCTGTCTTGAGCCTCCACGTTCACTTTTCTTATTGCTTG